AACAAAAAAAGGGGATACAAAGGATGGACCATTTTGTATCTGTATATGCAGAATAGGATAGATATACAGCTAGTTTTGCTTAATTCAGTAAGAAAGACTTATACTAATAGTATTTCGACAAGATATTCTGTCTGCATATGCACTATGGATAACCACTAAGAAGATAACAATGTACAATGTATTAATTATTGAAACTGTCCTATTAATCGGTTTTGAAACTGTCTCATTGATAGTTGTTTCTCAAGAAAATTTTAAAAAGTGATACATGTTTATGTATGAAGCATGCTGTTATCATGTGTGAAGACTACCTTAGGTATAACTGAAGTGATGATTTTTTTTGTAGAGTTCTATTGATGTTTTCATTGTAGTTCATACAGAAATTTGTGTTCTTTTTTAGACTTAATACATCAAAACAGCTGATGTTGAAAATTTGATGCTTTTTATAAGCATATAACTATTCAAAATCTAATACTTTATTGTCTAAATTTTTCCTGTTAAGTGCTCATCAATATAATAAAACTCATAAATTTAAAATTAATAATTTATCAATGCAGATATTCTAAAGAATAATCAGTTATGGACTTTTATGCCCTAATGGGTGTTATGCCCTGCAGGCTACATTATAAACAAACATTACACATTTGGATATCTACGAAACTCCAAATGTTTTAGATGAATGAGCAATTTACATGGAAAAAAATGCCCAAATGTGAATACATTCCTAGAAGTTACAATAACCTGAAAAAGTTGAGTGCCTTTCTTAAGTTAAAAATGCAATCTGAATAAAAACTTAGGGTACCAGTTCTTCATTAATTGACTAGACATAAAAGATTACATGAAGACAAGTAAACAAAAAGGAATTTAGAAATAAATCTCTTTATTTTATACATGATAGAAGTGACATTTGAAGAAATTCAGGGACTATTCAAAGCCAGAATTCCAGCTAGAAAGCAGAAACCAGAGAAAAATGGTGACCTCCTGCTCGCTGGTCTGCATTCAATCCCAGCTATCCATAAAAGGGCCAGAAGAGAGGATATTAGCAAGCAAGCTAGAATCAACAATCTCACTTCTAATAAATATGCTGTTCTCCAAGATCAATTAAGTAAGTCTGTAAATACTAATACTACTGGCTCACAAAATTTGACAGACAAAAAGTTTTAAATGAAAGTATACAGAAGAAATACATACTCTCTAAGATATATTTTAGAACTTGCTTCCTTAAGCAGCAGGCAAAGAAGTAAATACATACATACATACATACATACATACATACATACATAAAGTGAATTATCTAAGAAATGTGAGTGCTGGATCCTACTGCAATCAATTAGAGGCAAGTGTATTCACTTGACCTGGAAAGGTCAGGGGATGCTTAGGAGACAAGAGAGCTTCAAGGAAGCACTTAAGCACTTTTCTTTCTTAATTACTCAGTGCACAACGTAAACTAAATTAGCTGAGTGGATTTGTCATAGAAATTGTTGAAGCTATTTAGAAATTTTAAGCAAAACTGCCTTTCAAAGTTTACTTTCTTGTTTATTTACACTAAGGAACAGCAAGTACAAAACCCAACAGAGATGATGGTCAGTGAAAGAATTTTTATAGCAAATAATTAAGAAAAATGAAAAAGAATGCCTTATTTTGATGTCAGAATGCATAGGAATGCAAAATTTTGTTTTTAATTTTTTGTAATAATTACAAAACTAAAACTCTGTAAACAGGAATCTAAGAAAACCTGTATACCCCACCCCCCGACTTCTGAAATACAATGCAACTTTCTACCATCTGTTATTTTAAAGCAGAAACAGTAATGAACATATGGCCTTTCTCTATCAAGCAGCTGTAGTGTAGTTAAAGTTATAATAATTGTCTTTTGTAAGATAAATTTACATTAAAAGCCTGGCCAGTTAAAAACAAATGGCTTAGCCTCAGAGCCTTCCACAATAAAATTTAAAAATCTGAGTCATTTATAACATATTACATTTAGAAATGCAGAAGAAATTTTCCAAATATTGAGGTTAAATAAATCATTTTATTCCATCAGACAGTCCATAATTCATGTTTTCTTTCTTGATCAAAATGGTAGAAACATCAGACAGTTAACTTTTTGAAAGATAATATGAAACCACTACATTAAGTCACTGCACTCCAATGTAAATCTCACTTATTTATACGAAAAATGTCAACACAGGTAATATGTAAACTTTCACCTCGAGTATATGCTATTTATAATGAGTTTAAGTAAACTGAAAGGAACTCACAATATATTTATATATCATAAAAAATAAAAATTTTACCTACCTTTATCTGGGTGATTCAGAATCATGATTTTTCTGTGAGCTGTTCTAATCTTGGCTTTGCCAGCAGATGGGCTGTAAAACAAAATTATAAAGTGCTTATAATAACTACTGCCAAATGTAAGTTATAAATTAACAATTTATATGGGTTTCAAGAAATTAAAAACTAATGAGAATTTCACCATCTTGTGGACAAATACAAAATTACAGCTTTTCAATTAATACCACTAACCATCAAAATAAATCATTAATTCTTCAGTGGTTTCTAATATCCTTATTCTCAGGAAAAGGAATAAAATACATGCATGATTTGGAGGAGTCACAGTATGCAGACTGTAAGTCAGCAAACAGTTACATGGATTCCAGAACTAGATGGCTGGATTTTAATTCCAGCAATGCTACTGAGAACTGGGTAACCTCAGTCAAATCTTTAACCTCTTTGTGTTCCATTTCCTTATCTCAAAACAGAGCTAGTGACACTTTCCTGATAGACCAACTACAAGAATTAAATCACTTCATGGCCTACACAGTGCTATACAATTTCTGGAACATAGCATATGCTCTAATATTATATGCTAGCTTTAGAATCTTTCACTAGAGGATCCCTAAATCACTTTATCTCATAGTTGTTTTAGCTTTGTGAGAAACTTATGGGAAAAGTTTGCTGTTTGAGCCTGTCACGGTGTCTAGATGTTCCCCCAAAGCCGTAAATAGTCATGGTGTGTGAGGTGGGAAGGGAGGCTTCAGAGGTTACTGAAATTATTGTGATTGATATTCACGGTCTAACGCTGGGATTAAGTGTGTGTGATATAAGAGACAGAAAAGAGGCTTGTCCCTGGCCCGCTTGCTGCTTTTGCTATCTTTTGTGCACTATGAACTGTTTCACTTCTTAGATGGCTCCCTGCCAAGCCACCCTGCCTTGAAGCCAGCTGGTTATGGACTGAAATCTCTATAAACTGTGAGCCAAATAAACCATTCCCCTTTTAACTTTGGGTTTTGGGTATTTTGTCTCAGCGAGAAAAGTAAGACCAAATCCATGCTATAAATTAAAATTAAAGTCAAATAAACCTAAATTATTTTGGTGAAATCCAATAATTGGGTTCTAGGGGCCAGGGAGATAGCTCAGTGGAATAAGTGCTTCCCTGGCAAGCACAAGGGCCTGAGTTCAATCCCCGGTTCTGCAAAAAAAAAAAAAAAAAAAAAAGAAAAGAAAAAGAAAGAAAGAAAAGAAATGAACCAATAATTGGGTTCTAATAATCAACAGTATACTATATATTTTATAGCAAAAGAAGGCTCTGTTCAAAACTACACCTTAGTGTTCTGATAGTATACTACATAGTATACTACATAGTAAACTATCAGATGCTTAGTATACTATACTAGTAATAGCACAATAGTATACTGTTTAATAATTAATCGTATACTATTTTCATGTAAGGTATTTAAACTTTCTGGGCCTCAAATGGAGATATTAATATCTGGTTTAAAGGATCAGGGCAGTTGTTATGGAGTTCCAAAATGCTGTTCAGATATACAGGAGCCCATCGTGGTGGCTAAATATGTGCACTTTAAAAAATTATTTTATGTTCAAATTTCTAACCACAACACTTATTAGTTATGAAACTTTGTTTTGCACATTAAGTCTTTTGAATTATAATTTTCTGATATGTAAAATACACATAATAAAATCTACCTCCCACAATTACTCTGTAGATAAATTAGGTAAACAAGTAAAAAGATTAGCATGATCAAGCTGTACAATGGACACGAAAGATGCTTATAAAAATACATTATATTTTGTACTTTTAAAAAACAAGAGCATAAATAACCTAATCCTGCATGTCCTGAGCAATTCAGATACATTATCACAACTATCAACACACAGTAACTCTCAAGATCTTATGGAGACTGGCTTGCTCATAAGTGGGTCCAGAATACTACCCAAAATGTAGTTTTGAATAGAGCCTTTCTTTTGCTATCAGCTGTCAGCCCTCGATTCTGCTCAAGTTCTACTCTCTCAGTTTCTTGCCATTTACTTGACAAATAACAAAATATTCTGCTATGAATAAGATGAGTCTTTCTATGTGAGGAAATTATTACATATTACTTGTGGCTGTTTACAGAAGTCTTTTGGAGGATTACTGCAAACTTACTTTTTGGCTTGTAGGTGGTCAGATACTGATTAGAAAAACTCTTAAATGCTGAGACAGGACCTATTAGATATTGTACTAGGGCTATAAGCACTGTATTGTTTAACTGTTTACTAAGAAATTAAAAGCACATAACCCTGAAATTCTAGTATAATTTCGTTTCCTGTAGTTAACTCAATTTATGATTACTTTTGATATTAACACTCCTTTATTAGTTATGATTTCTAATTGTTCTAGAAATCATATATTTGACATGTCTCCTTAAATATAGTCTAAGGGCAGAAGCTATGATAATATCTTACACTAGTCTGTTTAATGTATCTTATACCAGCCTCCCCCTAAAAAATGACTGGAAAAAGGCAAACTCCTTGAAAGAATGAAGGCTCTCTTATTACCAATCCAGAAAGCTACTGGTGGGCATGATGATACACATTTATAATCCCGACACTCGGGCTTAAAGCAGGAGGACTGGGAATTTTGAGTGCAGCAATTTAGACTTAGTGAGACCCTATCTCAAAATTTAATAAAAAGGCTAGTGATATAGGCTCAGTGCAAGAGCCCTGGGATACAAGACTATCAAAAATAAATAAATAAATATCTATTAAAATAGAAAAGTTAAAGACATAAAAACCTTATTTCACAAAGCTTGTCACTAAATTATGAAGATATAAATTCAATAAAACTGAACTTTGTACATGTTTTAGTATATATGGAAGATGTTCTTATTCTTGATACTAAGTTTTAATTGAACACATAAAATCTGACTAAATGAACACATCACTTCATTCAAAATTATCCTTGAAAATCAATTATACTGCCTATAAAAAAAAACAGCGTACATGGCATTGTACATAAAAATCCATAAAGTATGATGTATATTGAAATCTGCCAACAACCCAAGTAGATGAAACACCACAAAGAAAGTTCATATACACAAGTATGGCAATTCAGACCATTATGTCTCTACAATAATAATTATGGGCCAGGATACAGTTCAGTAGCACAGTGCCTTTCTGGCAAGTGCAAGATCCAGAGCTTGATTCCTGGTTAATATTAATAATAGTAATATTAACAATAACATAGACTCTTAGTGGTGAGTTTTGAGAAGAAGAGAAGTATTCCCATTTGCCTGTAAAGTTTATTTCCTTTTTCTTATAGCTATATTAAATCCCTAGAACAGTACTATATTTTATCTTTTATTTTAAAGAGGAAAAACAAAAACTAGAACAAATAACTGAGAAAAGACAGAAACAAAGCAACAGATGACAGTAGAGATGGCACAGAATTACAGAAGAATGGAACACTAACAATGGTTGTTATATTACATATTATCAAATTTGCTGCTCATACTATCAGATATGGATATGCAATATTGAGCAAACAATAAACATTCATTCTTCCTTTCAATAACTCTTAATTTTTCCCTTGTCCTTTTTACTATTTATTTTTTTAATTTATTTTAAAGAGAGTACAATAATAATAGATATACATTAAAGGCAGTATATATTTAAAAGAACAAGATGAAAGGTATTCAACCATGTTGTTATATGGCACATTTTTGTCCTCAATGTAGTTGCTCAGATTACAGATATTAGCATATAAAGTAAAAATTTTAAACATTAACTGCTGCTTTGAAAATACCAACAGAAATTAGTAGTACAGTCTTTGCTACTCTGTATAAAATACTTACAGGATTTTACCCCTTTCCCTTTCTTCGGATCTTATCTCTTTTCCCTCCTCTCACTTGTTTATTCCTTAAGTTTCTTTCCATTTTACTACATTTATAGTACTTTTCAAATTTTATTTTTTCAGATTCTTACCACTCTAGGGAGACAATCTGATGTTTATATATGTGGGTCTGCTTTATTTCACTTTTGAGTATTGCCTCTAATTGCGCCCATTTACCTATAAAGGCCTCAAGTTTATCTTTCTTATTAGCTGAATAATACTCCATTGTATAAAAATACATCTTTTTTATCCTTTTCTCAGTTGATGGGCATTTGGTTGTTTACAAGATTTAGCAATGACAAACTGTGCTGCTATAAACATGGGTGCATATATATCACTATGGTATGATGTTTCCAGTTCTTCTGTAAATATACCCAGAAGGGGGATAGCTAAGTTGAATGGGACCTCCAATCCTGGTTTTTTCAGAAATCTCCACACTGCTTTCCATAGTGGTTGTACTAGTCTACGTTCCCACCAACAATGGAGAAGGGTTCCTTTTTCCCCCCCAGCCTGTCCAACATTTATTATTAGTTGATTGCTTTATGATAGCCATTCTTTCTCTAGTGAGATGGTATCTCAGTGTTGTTTTAATCTGCACTTCTCAAATGACCAGTGTTTGAAAACATTTTTTCATGTACTTATTTGTCACTTGTACTTCTTCCTCTGAGAAGTGTGTATTCATCTCAGACGCCCATTTTTGGATTGGGTCTTTGAATTTTGGGGACCTGAATTTTTTTTATTCTTTGTATATTCTAGATAGAAGTCCTTTGTCTGAGTGACTACGGGTTAAAATTTTTTCTCAGTTTGTGGACTGTCTTTTCACTCTGTTGGTGATTTCTTTGGACATGCAGAAACTTCTCAGTAAGTTGTTGCGATCCCAGTTGTTGATTCTTTGAAGTATTTCCCAAGCATTTTGGTTTCTGTTCATAAACTCTGCCTATACTTATGTCTTCAAGATTTCCATCTACTTCTCTTCCAACAGATTTAGTGATTCTGTTTCAATGTTTAGATATTCCATCCATTTTGACTTTAGTTTAGCATATAGTAATAGACTTGGATCTAATTTTAGTTTTTGGCATGTGGAAATCCAGTCTTTCCAGCACCATTTGTTAAAGAGGCTATCTTTCTTGTAGTGAGTATGTTTGGCCCCTTTATCAAAGATAAGGTGACTCAGTGCACTTGTAGTTGTGTCTACAT